CTGGCCCCGGAGCGGTCGTTAACACTCGGCGATCGAATGAACACAAACTACCAGCAGTGCTTGCAGTACCAAGTACATGCTTTTCTCTAGATTTATTACAGATACAACAGATGTTTTCATAAATAGTTGCATAAAATGTTAAAGCCGCAACATTGCACATGATAATCAAACATAACATACAATGAGTGCATTTACAGTAAATTCATCTTCCGCCGCCTCCACATTCAGCGCTGCCACCGAGGGCTCCAACAGTCTCGAGTCCACTGCGAACGTGAGGGGGAAGAAGGCCGAAGTCTCTATACAAGGTAAGGCTTAAACATGTCATATCTGCGCAACACAGGAAAAGAAAAAAGAAAAAAAAAAGACAAACGTCTATCGGTTCTTCTCGGGTTGGACAGTGCAGCATTTGTTACTCACGACATGGTCATCATGGTGTTCTTAGATTAGATTAGGGTACGTTAATGTAAGCGCAGCCATCGAGAAGCTCTGATGTATAAATGTCTCAGCTGATGAGCTCTGTCGCGGTTTCCGCGTGTCTGCAGAGTCCAGAGTAGCACACGAATCTTCAACTTATGAGCGTTTTCTACAATGATGTGTTTGTTTTTTTCCTCCTTGGAATCGCAGAGACACTACTGTGCCTCTCTATACACTGTTTCTATAAGAAAGGGTTGCTTCTCAAAAGTATCCCAGTTACTGTTTAAGGGTAAAAGACAAAAACACACCGTCTGTTCCTGGAGGGCGATTTGCTCTCTGTGGCGAGCTCCGTTGGCATCGGTTTCTCCTGAAGGAGCTGCGCCCGTGCGGTGGCGTTGAGGCTCGATCGATTGGCTCTTCTGATCAGCTTCAACTCGCGCAGAGGAAAATAACTTACTTCATAATAGTTTTTTTAAAACTGTTTTTGTTCACTTAACTACAAAAAGACGAAACCAGCAAGCAGCAGTAGACGAGGGCATCCATTCATTTGTGATTGGTGAGAACTCCGTTCTCTTGGGCTCTGATTGGCTGAAGACCTCAGCAGGTTTCAAATAAACAACCTAAAAGGATAACAGGATTTTATTTAGTGAAAAATCTGTGAAAGAGGATGAGATCAGCTTTCATTTTTCTCCTCCTTTTTACATCGAGACCATAAAGAGTCTCTTCCACCTCAGTGCTGGACCCCAAACTGAGCAGCGTCTCCTGCTGTGGTCGGAGCGCTGAGGCTGAGAGCTGCTCAAACCCGAGGCTGAAGGCGACCGTGAATGAAGCTCCTGACCCCTCCGATGGGCCGGGCATCGGTCTGATGTTTTCTCCTGTCAATGAAAGAAATGAGGCGGGAGGTGTCCAAGCAGCCCTCTGCCCGGCCGTCGCCTTGGCCAGCCTGCAGCCACGGCTCCTGGAGGGAGAGGCCGGCCGGGGGCCTTCTGCCCGGGTCGGTCTTCAGAAGCAGGCAGACGAAGTCCCGGGCCGCCTGGCTGACGCCCTGGAAGTAATCCCTGGGGAAGCTGAAGTCCAGCCTGCAGATGTTCAGGCAGGTCTCCTCTGCGCTCTCGTCGAGAAAGGGGGAGGCGCCGCTCAGCAGCACGTAAGTGACCACGCCCAGACTCCACAGGTCAGAGGTCAGCGACACGGGCTCTCCGAGGACCAGCTCTGGGGAGGCGAACTCAGGGCTGCCCAGCAGAGGGTGAACATAGTGGGCGCTGTTGAGCTGCACGGCATCACCGAAGTCTGTGAGCTTGACTATTGGCTGGCCGCTGGCGGTGTGGGACACCAGCAGGTTCTCAGGCTGTAACGAGAGCAAAGATTAGCCTCATGGATTCTCATTCATTCATCATCACGGTTTGTACACGACCGCACTGCATCCACGTGTCAGTCAACCTTTTTATGGCTTCAATGTTTGGAGGAAAATTAAAACGTGACTCACTTTTATGTCCAAGTGTGCGATTCTGCAGTTGTGTAAGTAGTGTAAAGCTTCTAAAACGTTCCTCAAGTAGCAGGCCACCTTCTCCTCGGTCAGATTCCCCCAGCTCACGATGTAGTCCAGCAGACGGCCTTGGTCGGCCCTGAAACCCAAAGCAAAACATCAGGTCAGAGGTATGGCGTGACAGAGCTGTGTGTATGTATGT